CCTTCCCTTCCTCCTTTATGAGACAGGTTCTCACTATGGAGCCCAGGCTGGCCTCATACTTGGGGCAATCCTCCTTCCTCTCCCTCCCGAGTGTTGGGATTACAGGTGTGCACCACCATGCCCGGCGTTGGTTTTCCCTTTCTTAGACTTCCACAGTGATGGGATTACAGGTGTGTGCCATTACACCCAGCATAGGTAGTATTTTTGATGTCCACTTTTCTATTTGCCATTTCTTCATGTTTGTACAGTCCAGTTCAGTTCAGTTTACATTCATTGCTCATCCTCAAGGAACACTCACTCATTTGCAGCATGGTACATATAGTGGGGGTGCACATCTCTGTCAGTAACTAGTTCTGCTTGATGAAGGATGTTGTTGTGGAATACTTCGCAGGACATTTTTCTATTAAAATAAGAGTTGTAGTTAGCTGGGTATATTGGTGCATCCCTATAGTTTCAGCACTAGGAAAGCTGATGCAGGAGACTTGCGTGTTTAAGGTGAGTCTTGACTACATATTTGTTTCAAAAATACAAAAAAGAGCCAATGTGGTGGCATATACCTATAATCCCAGCACTTGGGAGGTTGTGAAGCAGGAGGATCGTTGCAAGTTTGAGACCAGCCTGACCTACAAAATGAGCTCAAATCCAGCCTGAACTGCATAGTGGGACCCTGTCTCAAAAAAAGGACCACCCCCCAAAAAAAGATTTATGGTTACTTGGCTCACCTAATAGGTAAAGTTGTTTTTATTGGGTGATTGTAGATTTTTGTGCTCCAAAAGATTTTGAAGTCACCTATTTTATTTTTCTTCCAATCAGATTTTATTGGTACATTTTAGATATACATAATGATCACATTCAGCTGGGCGTGGTGGCGCGCGCCTGTAATCCCAGCACTCCGGAGGCTGAGGCAGGAGGATCTTTGCGAGTTTGAGACCAGCCTGGGCTGCAAAGTGAGCTCAAGGCCAGCCTAACCTGCATAGCGAGACCCTGTCTCAAAAGGACAAAAAAAAAAAAAATAATAATGGCCACATTCGTCATAGAGAATTTGTACCTGTACATGATATAACTTGTTTTTTTCCCATTCCCCTGCCCTCCTTTCAGTGCCTCCTCTCCTACCCATTTATAAAAGCTTTGCTTCTATTTTTTTCCTTTTCTCATTATTTTTCTTTTCTTTCCCCCTTACTTCCCCTGAATGCCCTTCCCAATTTGAACATTTTTAAAGTTACCTATTTAAATACTACTTAATTTTTAATCTCTTCCCAAGAATGGTAGCTAGGTGGGCCTAGTGGTGCACACCTGTAATCCCAGCACTTGGGAGGATGAGACAGGAGGATTGCCATGAGTTTGAGACCAGCCTGGGCTACATAGTGGGTTCAAAATCAGCTTGAATTTATGTAGTGAGACTCTGTCTCAAAACACCAAAAAAAAAAAAAAAAAAA